CTCTTCTCCAAGAATGTTCAGGCACAGACCAGGGATAACCTAGGCTCCTTGTTAGGCCTCCCTCAAACCTCTTCCCTTGGTAAGTATCTTGGTGTACCCATTATTGCTAGGAAACTTAAGCAAGCTGATTGCAATTTTATCCTAGATAAAGTTCGATCTAAGCTTGCCGGATGGAAAGCTAAATTTTTCACTATGGCTGGTAGAACCACCCTGGTCAAATCTGTCCTTGCTACCATCCCTAATTATTACATGCAGTCCCAAATGCTCCCTACTTCCACTTTGAAGGATCTTGACAAAATATCGCGCAACTTTCTTTGGGGCTCTACTGATAACCAACCCAGGCTGCATCTGGTTTCTTGGGATAAAATTACCCAACCAAAATCGTATGGCGGGTTGGGTATTAAAGCAGCTAAGGAAGCTAATTTGGCTGCCATGTGCAAGCTTAATTGGCGTCTCCATACTGAAAAGCATGGCTTGTGGAACCGTGTGCTCTCTACCAAATACCGAATTAACAATTGCAGGTTCCAATACCCAAATCACTGCTCCCCTGTCCTGCAGAACATTAAAAAAGGCAGCTCGCTATTTTCCGAAGGCCTCAAGTGGATCCCTAGAGATGGCAGACTCATCTCCTTTTGGAATGACACTTGGTTTGGTCATAGGCCTCTTAGCTCCATTTTAAATGGTCCTCTGCTTGAAACTGACTCTTCCTTGCTTGTTTCTGATTGTTTTTCACAAGGTCAGATAATTGACAGAGCCATTTCTTATGACTTGCCTCCCAATATTGTTCAGACCATCAAAGCTATCCCTCTGTCCTTGTTTGAATCTGGAGCTGATCAATTTGCATGGAAACTGAATGCCAATGGCTCTTTCTCTTCCTCCTCGGCTTACGGCCTTGCCAAGAAGACTTCCATCAGCCCGGAGCAGAACTGGTCTTGGATTTGGAAGGTCCACACCTTACCAAAAATCCAAAACTTCATCTGGTTGCTTTGCCATAATCGGATTAAGTTCCTGGGGTACCTTAATAGTATTGGTATTATCAATTTCTCTATGTGTCCTCTCTGTTCTCTTAATTCTGAAACTGCAGATCACCTGGTTCGGAATTGTCCTAGCTCTCGCGTTATTTGGGATGCGCTTTTTCCAGGATTGACTTCCCACCAGACCATGGATTCCCCCCTGGGTGAGTGGCTGCGGTTCAACTGTGGTAGGAAGGACAGCAGCTCCTTCTTATCTATTCCATGGGGTATCCTCTTCTCTTTTACTATTTGGACAATTTGGATTCAAAGGAATTGCAAGTTGTACAAACCTGAGGATTATAATTCCTCTGCCAGTATCTCCATTATCAAGAACAAAGCAGCAGAATATTGGGCTTGCTGCTCCTCACCTCAGCATACTCGCCAGGCTATATCCACTACCGTCAAATGGACCAAGCCCCCCTCAGGATTCATTAAACTTAACACCGATGGCTCCTTCATTAGCAGGTCTGGTATGGCTGCTTCGGGAGGTTTATTTAGGGACCATGAGGGAAAGTGGATGCTTGGCTATGCAAGGAAAATCGGCCACACTTCTTGTTTGGCAGCTGAGCTTTGGGCCATTCGGGATGGTCTTCAATTAGCTGTTGACAAAGGATTTAATCGATTATGCATTGAGACTGATTCTCTTACTGCCCTCAACCTCATTACCAAGGATTGTTGTAATCACCACCCTTTTACTGCTCTCATTTTGGACTGCAAGGAACTGCTCAGTAGGATCCCAGGCGGTGATATCCAGCACGTCTTCAGAGAATCCAATATGTGTGCTGATTTTTTGTCTAAATTAGGCCACTCTTTGGCTGCTAGTTTTACTATGTATGAGGATTGCCCCCAAGGCCTGGACGTTTATTTGGCTTATGATATGTATGGGATCGAGTATCCCAGATATGTACTTTAGTTCCTCTGTTTAATACTACTTCCTATTTTCACCACAAAAAAAAAAAAAAAGAAAAAGCAAAGGCGTGCAGGTGCAGTGCCACGCAAGCCAATGACAAACGGCGTCAGGAAGCCAGTTAGTGGAATGGCTGATTTGCCACTTTTTTAGTTCAGGGGCTTATCACTTGCTGTCTAAAAAGTTGAGAGGCTTAAGATGAGTTTTTGCCCTAAGTAAACATGGATAGAAGATAAAATATTAATTTAATCTTTTAATTTTTAAATTTGTATCAAAATTATTTTTTTATTTAACAAATAATAAAATTATCCATAAATTTTAATTTTGAGTATTAAAATAGTCCTCAAGCTTTGATAATGGTACCAATTTAATCTTTAAATTTTAAATAAAAGTATTAGTTTAATTCTTAAACTTCGATTATAAATATCAATTTAACTTTTTAACTATAATTATATATTAATTTAACATGTAAATAAAAATATATTATAATAACAAAATATAATTATTTAAT